AACACTTTCCAAATTGCTGGCTTACACCCCTCCACACCCCCATCCTGCTGTCCCCGGGCCCTGAGGGCAGTGCCTAGGTGCCAGCTTACTGAAAAGGCATCCTTAGCTCCGATGGGTGTGGTTTAAAAAAAACAAAAGAAAAGTGCCTTTTCAGTGATGAGTACAGGTTTGACTTACTCTTAAATGGAGATCAGCACAGATATCAAGGCAAACTGCATATAAAATCCAGCTCAAGGAAACCTCCGGGCTGCTAATGCATGTTTGCAGATATAGCAACCATAATGAAATGGCTGCTTTTTAATGATTTCCTATAATGGTGTTTATATATGGAAGCTTTTTCCCCTAACCGAAGCAATTTAACTGGAAAATGGCAGAGGAGTAAGAGGAGGCAGGCGTCCAGCTCCGAGGAACACACAGGCACTGTGCTCTGCGGCAGCCTTAACGAGCCTGCCTGCCGTCCCCAGGGCCTTCCCTCCTTGGGGACCCGGCAGGTGTGGGCCCTGTGCCCACTGCCCTCTCCTCTGCCTCCTGCTCTTCGCTTGCATTGCCCCTACTTCACTCAGTTTGAATGTACATTGAGGGCGACTCGCTCTCCAATGCTCCCATCCCAGGGAGTCACTGGGGGCCTCTCCACCCTCTGCTGTGGTTCTGACCCCACTGCTGGCCATTCCCTGTTTTCCTGTCTGCATCCCCCAAAGAATCCCGAGCTCCAAGATGGCATTCACTGCTACTCCAATCCGTGGCTGCCTACTGTGTGCGGGCACTGTTATACTGGTGAACCGGACAGCTGCCCACAGGGAGCTGCAGTCCAGCAGGAGAGACTGTGATAAAGGCTGGTGATAGGGAACAAAATCAATGCAGACACGTGACATCACCAGGCAGCACCGAGCGAGGGAGGCTGGTCAGGATTGAGGGTCAGTGAGGAGGGCCAGTGAGATCAGAGGCTAAAAGAAAAACAGGGATACTGGGAAAGATGAGGTTTGAAACTTGAATAAGTGACCCACTCCAACCAAGTTTCTTACTCAAATAAGGTTGGGAAATGGAGAATAAAGGCACTTACACGGGCTGGGTGTCGTTACGACGGGACTTCTCAGGGTCTGTCCCTCCTTACCCTCATGAAAGAGCCTGGGGACGCCCAGGTTCTGGGGGCCTGTAGGTCATGGTAAGAAGTGGGGATGTCACTCTGGGTGTGAGGAATTGGAGCATGGGAGTACAGCCACCTGATGGCAGGGTCTGTCTTATCTCCCCAGCCCCTAGCAGTTCCCCGTGACTTCCTGAATGAATAAATGCCCCCTGTGTGGACAGAGAACGTATACAGGCACTGGGCTGACAGGGTTCCTTCTCCCAGGAAGGAACCAGCCGTAATGAACATATACGCTGAGTGGCCAGATTATGATGATCTCTGAACACATAATAATCTGGCCTGGTGCATGAGTTCGTGCATGGGTGGGATCTGGCCAGCCTGGCCAGGGGGAGGGGACATAGGTGGTTGGCCAGCCTGCCTGCTGGTTGAACTCCTGGTTGAGAGGACAATTTGCATATTAGCCTTTTAATATATAGGATATACACTGAGTGGCCAGATTATTATGTGTTCAGAGATCATAGTAATCTGGCCAATCAGTGTATTTTTTTTTTTTTAATGAGGGGAAGGAGGGACAGATGCTCTCTCATGTCAGGACCCTGAGGAGGCCCATTGTACAGATGCCCAGCCCCTGTAAGTGGCTTTCTTCCTCCATTTCCCAACCTTATTTAATTAAGACGCTTTGTTGGAATGGGCCATTCATTTTATTTCATAGAATAAAATCACAGAATGTAGGAACTTCCATAGTAATTGGGAGCTTTTTGGCTGCTTGCACTTGTCTGTCTGTCTAAGGCTGGAAGACAGAGTCCAGAGTGGGGGGCCTCTAGGGTTTAGAGATTATGAGCTGGTATAACTTAGCATGGAGGACTTGGGCCCATGGGAGGGGCCAGGGTCTGGGTTAGGTTTGAGGGAGACAGTTTAAGCCTGAAGCCAAGACCCCAGATCTGAAGAGGTGTCCCAGCTCCTCATTTCTGCCTGGCTCAGCTGGGATCAGCTCTCAGTGACCCTGATGTAGCTCAATTGGTCTCATTTGGCTGTAGCAGCAAACCAGCCTGCTGACCCCTTCTTCCTTACTGAGCCTTCTCTGTCCCACTGGTTTCCGGACACCACGCTCCTCATTGCCTTCACATAGCTTGCTTGATTGACTGCTTGGTACTTGGTTGGCTGCTTCAGTCATTCACTTAAAGAAGTATCTCTGAACACATACGAAGCGCCAGGCCCTGTGGTGGGGCTCTGGAGATACTCGAGTAGATAAAACAAACATGCTTCTGCCCAGTGGAGATTAGTGGGAGAGTCAGTCAAGCAAAGAAATACAAATATATTATTTAACATTGCAATGTGATATGGGAATCAGATGGGGACAGCGTCAGCACAGGGACTTGCTCATGAGATGCTTTTGAAGGATGTGCAATTAAACCCAGACCAAAATGAGGAGAGCCCGTCCCTGCCAATGAGCTCAGCTGGGGGCCCCCCAATGCTGTCTGCAGGCACTCTTACTCTTCACTCCTCGCATAGAATTCCACTGCCTCAGCGACTGTCTGTAAACAGCCTGATGCCGCCTAGCTGCTTTCTTTAGCCCACACCTCTCCTCCCGGCTTCTTATGTATATCACTGCCTACTGCCTTCACAAACATCTCCACCCAGATTATCTCCAGACGCCTTCAATTTATGTCCAACCAAAACACATGATCTCTAATCACCCTACCCTGCCCCCAAACAAAACAAGACAAAATTGAAAGCAAAACCACCTGGTCCTTTCTTCTTCTTCTTTTATTTTTATAAAGATTTAAATATATATATATATTTTATTGATTTTTTACAGAGAGGAAGGGAGAGAGCTAGAGAGCTAGAAACGTTGATGAGAAACAAACATCGACCAGCTGCCTCTTGCACACCCCCTACTGCGGATGTGCCTGCAACCAACATACATGCCCCTGACCGGAATCGAACCTGGGACCTTTCAGTCCACAGACCGACGCTCTACCACTGAGCCAAACCAGTTTCGGCACCTGGTCCTTTCTTCTATGCTCTTATATTGGTGACTGGCCCCACTGTTCATCCACTGCTTAATCCAGACACGTATGCATGGGGCATCGCCCACCTACATACTGCCTTCACCCTCCATTCCCAATCCTTCAGCCAGATCGTGCCATTTTATACCTTTTCTATACCAGTCTGCTTTTTTACATCTCACATGCCACCACCCGAAATCCAGGCAACAATTTTGCCCACTTACACTTTTTCAATGGCTTCCCAGTTGGCCTCCCCAATTCACTTTTTTTTTAAAAAGTATATTTAATTGATTCTTTACAGAGAGGAAGGGAGAGATAGTTAGAAACATTGATGAGAGAGAAACATCGATCAGGTGTCTTCTGCACACCCCCTACTGGGATGTGCCCGCAACCAAGGTACATTCCCTTGACCGGAATCAAACCTGGGTCCCTTGAGTCCTCAGGCCGATGCTCTATCCACTGAGCCAAACCAGCTTCTACCCCAATTCACTCTTGATCCACTGATTCTTTCTCCTTAGTTCAGAATGACACACTCAAAATGCAAATCTGGTCTTCTTTTCCTCTCCCTCCCATGATTAAAATCTTTCCATTGGTTTTTGTGGATCTTTGAAGAAAGATCAAACTCTAACACAGTCTACAAGATCTTGCATGATCTGGCTCCTGCCAGCCTCTCCAGCCTCCATCTCACACCTCTGTGCCCTTCACACATGAAAATCCTTTTTTCACCTCCTAGAAAGCATCTGTCCCTGCCCCCTGAATGCCATCTTCTCTTTTATCTACTTATCTTCTAGATCTCATTCAAATGAAGCTATCCTGAAAACCCTAAACTTAACCTAATTCCTTCGATACATTCTCATGGTACCAAGTTCTTTAATGTTGTAGTACTTATATATGTTTGTAATAAAACATAAATGTGTAATATTTGATTCAAGTGTCTCCGATGAAAGTTCTATGAACACTGCATCACACTTACTCCTCCTTTTCTTGGTTCTTCTCCCATCTCTCCCCTACATGTGAACATTTCCTAAGATGGGGCTCTCCTCCCTATTTTGACTCTCCACCCTTTTGACCAAACGGATCTGCTTACTTCATAGCTTCAAAGCCTTTATCCTCAACCACAATCTCTCCAAAGAGCCAGTTAGGCATCTCCCAAGTAGTCCAGTGGTTTTGCAACATTTTGATTGCAACCAACATTTGGAACATTTCATAGGGCAACTTACTACATATACACAGGTAACACATAATTTTCATGAAACAATACTGTCATTCTATTTCCCCCCCATTTTATTCCATTTAAAAATATTTTATTTTTCATATAATTCCAGAACCCATTAATGGGTCATGACCTGTAGTTTAAAAACACATCATACGAACACACAGCACCATATATTTCCACATGAACATTTCTCTGCAACCTCAAACATAATATATCTATTTCCCAACGCATTTCTCAATCAAACTTTCTGAGGAATATGATCATTCTCTGAGTCACTCATGATCAACATCTTAGAGTCATTTTGGATTCTCCTTACCCAACAGTTGCTTTTGGTTCTTCCACTGTAATGTGTCACCACCCATTCTAGCCTTTCCATTCCTTCTATCCTAATTCTGATTGTTATTGCAACTTGGAGCACTCCAGCAGCCATTATGACTGGTTTTCTCCTGCCAGGATTTTCAAATAGAGGTGACATATGTTTGAATCACAAACATTAGGGCAGAAAGTGAATTCAACTCTTCGGTTCCATTTTGACCAACACAGTAGTAGGTAAGGGACTCAAATGGATGTGCCTTCATCTACTCACCAAACTCCTTAATTAACATAATTAAATTTTACGCCAGGCTGCCTCACATTCCTATAAATCCCTATTATAGAAACCAGGCTCTGGCTTTGTGGCAGGCAGACTCACCCATGTCGGCAGTGACCATGGTGGACTGGTTCTCAGGGATGGAGACAGAGGTCTGGTCTTGGTCCATGCTCCGAGAGTCCTCGTTGACCTCTTGTTGACTCTGGCTGAGTTCTGATCGAAGTTCTGAATACTCATCTTCCTCCCTGAGAAAAAAGGAGAGTTGGCCACCACTTACAGGGATATGAGACAAATTCCTAGAGAATATGCCCTTTAAGGACAAGAAAAAAAGACATTCAGAGAGAAAAGAGATAGATATCATCTCCCATAAACCCCCTTCCCCCGGGGGTTTCTTCAGGCCAAATAGATGGTCCCATCTATGGTCGGTATCTGAAACTGAAAGGTTGCCGTGTCCACACACACACCCATATAGCTAAGAGATCCATCCATCAGCCTACTAGAAACTTTTCCCCTTCAAAGATTTCCTGAAGAAATTAGATTTCTTCATCCCCTCAAATTCCAAGGTGAAAAAGAACCAGCGCTGATGCTACAGTGGATAAAATAATTAAGACTCTGGTGGACAGAAACAGTGTTCCGTTGCCTGGAGAGTCCCAGTGGCAGGCCTCCTTCCTGGAAGAGGACATGAAGAGGTACTGGGGCCAGAGCTACTAGAAAGCCAGCACCTCATCCATGCAGAACAAAATGAATGCTTTGAGGGGCACATGGATCAGCATGTCTAAAAAAATGCCACTCTTAATTTCCCCAAAGAAAGTAGATAGAGTTAGAGCTTAGGAAAAGAGGAAGGAGTGGGGAGAACAGTGGAAACAATGAGTGAGAGAATTCCACTCAATGGTCTATTTCCTTCCGTTTGCTAACCGGAAGACAATATTTACATGCAGTTATGTTTCATTAGCACAAGAACATCCACCCCTTCCCAGCCCTTCATGGATCCCTCGACCTTTGGTTTCTGAATTCATTATGAGCAAGCTAAGAAAACTTAAAGTTGTAGTATATATTTCAAGGCGCACCCATATTTCCTCTCCACACCACCCTCATCACTGTATACACACTGGACACAGATATGGACAGAGCAGAGTTAACTCTCTTTGAAGCATTTATTTTGCAAGTGAGCTAGAAGAGAAAATTGTCAGTGGATTTAATTATGACATTGGAAAGGCCACAGGTCTCTCAGGCTGACATGCATTTTAAGTTTGTGGTGTGTGTGTGTGTGTGTGTGTGTGTGTGTGTGTGTGCGCGCGCGCATTCATATGCACAGAAAGTCTACAGTCCTGAGTTTGGGGCAGACCAAGATGGTCAGTGGTAATCATCTCTGGATCTTGGAGAAGAGGAAACTGCCTTTTTAAGCTGGGAGACAAATCTACAAATTAAAGAAACATGAAGATCTTTTTCAGAATTCTTCGTTCTTTCAACAAATCACATCCTCTCAGGGAAGGACTTCAGCTGAGCCCCTGCTCCACGGTAGTCTTAATAAAAGCCACCCGAATCCAGATTAATGTTAAACAGACGTAAACGCCCTCCCCCCAATGTGCAAAATATGAAATAGAATGGGTGTGGTGAAGGCAAAAAGAAATAATGCTCTCTGACTAAATTAATTATTAGACACCTGCAAAACTAACAATTAGGAATACAACAATTAAAAAGTACTCTTAAGTTTGATGTAGTAGATAATTGTGTCCTGATATATGAGCTTTTTTTTCTTTTTTAAACTGTTTTTTTATTTTGTTTGTTTTGTTTTAGAGAAACAGAAAGGGGGGGAGACGGAGGGGGAGAGAGAGAGAGAGAGAAGGGAAGAGAGAGGAGAGAGAGAGATGAAAGTAGAGAAAAGAGAGAGAGAGAGAGAGAGAGAGAGAGAGAGAGAGAGAGAGAGAAAGGAAGAGAGAGAGAGAGAGCGAGAGAGAGCGAGCGAGCATGCTCAATGTGAGAATGAAACATTTATCAGTTGCCTCCCATATGTCCTCACCCTTCTCCTTCCTCCACCCCCCTCCTGGCCACAACCTGGGCATGTGTCCAGACTGGGAATCAAACCAGCCCTTTGGTGCATAGGACAATGTCCACCCAACTGTGCCACACTGGCCAGGGCTTAGCTCTCCTTTCAATTAGCACTTAAAATTCCGAATTCCATTAACAGGAGATTTTGTGTATGATGAATAAATTACCTTTGTTGCATGTCCAATGTAATCAGCTTGGCTGAGACTGTTTTACAGCTAAGAAAGCCAGGTAAATGCTGCTGCTGTATCTGTGGTATAAATGGCACATGCAAAGTCTTTAAAAGCCACCTTAAACCATCCTGGCTTGGCAGGTTCCGAAACATGTAGCGCCTGCCAAATCTTCTGCTTTGTAAGGAATTACTTCTAGAGATTATTAGGATGAACTTTATAAAGGAGTGCATAGGGCAGGGGTGTGAAGGTGAATAGGTGGAGGCTTGGAGAGGAGTAAGTGGTTTGGTGTAGCTGAAACCAAAATGGAGTGCAGGGTGGAAACATGAGGCTGGCGGGGGTGGTTCACTCAGGCCACTTGTTGATAAAAAAAAAAATAATTATTGTAGTGAAAGTGTCAAATAATTAGGGTTAGATGGTAGAGATAAAGATAAGATGTGTGAGGCCTAGGGATTCAGGTTCCCAGTAAACATTGCCAAGATTTTGCCCGGAACAGATAACATAAGCAGAGGGAAGTGCAGAAGGTCTGTATTCTTGACCCCACAGGGGGGGTCTGAGCATGAAGGGTTCTTCCTTAACTCTATATATTAAAGGCTAATATGCAAAGTGTCCCCTCAGGAGTTCAACGGGGAGATCGGGAGTTCAATCACTCGCTATGATGTGTGCTGACCACCAGGGGGTAGCACAGAATGAAGAAAAGCCCTGGCCAGCAGCCGGAAAGCCCTGATCAGCCCTGATCGCTGGCCAGGCCTAGGGACCTATGTGTGTATGAATTTTGTGCACTGGGCCTCTAGTAGTAATTATAATGCATCTCACAGTAAAAAAAAGGTTGCTTTGTGAGAAGAGCAGGCAGTATTCTGTGTCACAGAGAATGCAGTATAGGAAGGTTAAACCAAGACTAAATATCAGAAAGGGTGCAACGCGGTTGTTTCTCCCACTGACTCTGGTAGAAGAAATCATGAGTTGCATATTCTGACTTACACATTGTCATGGGCATCGCTCCTGAAAAAAGGCTGGAATCCAGGACAGGGAAGTGACAGTCAATTTGGGGTTGCAGCATCTGTAGGAGACTGAGGCTAGGGGTTTTCCCTCCACTGTGTTATTGAGGGGAGTTGATCCATCAAGAGTAACAGAACAGGAAGTCAAGTACACTCCAGCAGCTCAAGGCAGTTTAACAAAGGCAAAAATATGAGGTGTGTTTTCAGGGCTGTTTTGTGCAGCAGTGAGTCACCAACCTGGTAAAGACGTTTAGCTGCTGACACAGCACCAACATCTCAAAGGGACTTCATTGTTTGTTTACTTCTGTTGTGGATATAGTAACTCTTGGCGAGGGATAACTTACTTCTTTGGGGGAAAAATGCCTCCCCAAAGAACACCAATGTTAGTGTGGTGATAAAGCTTGATAAACTGATCAATGTTGATAATTACACACTATTGTGGTAGTTTCATAATTATGGAATTGCAAAGTTCTCAGGAACAAAGGATCATCTCGCAGGATTCGAAATGTACATTATTTAATTCACTGTTTACAAGCACTTGTGAAGTGCTTCCCGGCTTTTCTATTTAGAGTTACAGTAATTGGTGCTTGCTACTAGCTTAAACAACGAAGGGAAAAATGCTTCTAAGAAGGCAGGCATTAGATTGCACACACACCTGGGTAGCTTGCCGTGGCAGAAATGTCACAGGCTGGCCAACTGGAAGGGATCTTAGAGACCATGTAAGCCAGGACCAATTCCTTTGTTTTAGAAAAAAGACAACTGAGGCTTTAAGAGGCTAAGCAACTTACCCACGATGATGCTATTAGTGAGTATCGCAGCCTAACTCCTAAATGTAGTATCAACAAAACAATACTCGAGTATGGGAGCCTAAAGAAAACAACTTTTTTTTGTTGTAATTATTTAAAAATAATTTAAAAAATTGATTTGTGAGACACACACACACACACACACACACACACACACACACACACAGAGAGAGAGAGAGAGAAACACTAACTTGTTGCTCCACTCACCCTACACTCATTAGAAGACTCCTATATGTGCTCTGACCAGGGATCGACCCTGCAACCTTGACACAACAGGATGATGCTCTTCTGACCAACTAAGCTATTTGGCCAAGGCTGTTGCAGTTATTTTTAAAGATTCCTTCTCTTTAATGGCCAGGGGTAAAATGATCTAATCAGAAAAGTGGGAAAAGTCAATGAAAGTACAGTTCTTATCATGCTTTCCAGACCTCAAGCTAAAGTACCGTGGACTCAGCAGCATTTGATAAAAATATTACTTCATTAGCAAAGTCCATATCTATTTAATCTGGGGGAGTGCATTCATGCCTTGTTGCTTGGAGTAATTTTGAACAAGACCCATAAGGATATCTGCCTGTCTTGGGCAACTGTCAGTCACCTATGTCCTTCCTAATCACATTCTGTTTTTTTGTGTTTTTTTTTCTTTTTACAATTAAAAGTGTACTGCCCTGAATTGCCCACATTCTTTTAAAGAACAAAGATTTTTAAATATAAGGAGAAAATGTAATCCTTTCTATTCTCTAATAAGGATCTATATCAGGAAATAAGTGAAGTCCTGATTCTTTAATTCTACCTCTTCTAATGTTTTAATACAGCACAAAGAAGGCTCAGACTTATCTTTGGATCCTTTAGTCAATAACTGAACAAATGAGATTTTGAAAGGCTGGCCATCCTTCCCATCAACAAATACCAGTTTTAACAAGATCTGATATAGGATCAATATTCAAGAACTTCTAAATATGTATGTCAACCACCCAGGAAGACAGGGAGAGAGAAATCTATCTTATTTTTCTGGATTGTTATTTCAGTATATTTTACTTGTTAGCTCAGAAATTAATCAAAACAATATGTTTTGCTGGGAGATAAAGAGGCTTTGTTTACACTGTTCGAGATGGAGAAATGTGAAGCTAGACATACAGACACAGTGCACAGTTCAATGTGTGGGCTGAAAAATCAGAAGGAAGGCCAGGTTCATGGTACAGGCCTGAGATCTCAGAGATGGAATTATGTTAGAGAGGGAAAGTTTGGGTAGTATTTCATTCCCCAAACGAGGAACGTTTTGCAGACAAGGAAGCAGAATGGTTAAGTGCCAATGCCAGGTGATACAGATAGAATGGGTCAGTGCTCTCTGGCCTACAGTCATTCAGGATGAAAGGGATGAGGGACAGAGCCCAGGGTAAGGGCCAAGGTTGAGGATGGATCTCAGGAACAGAAGAGAAGACCCAAGACCTATAGGGTCCTAGAGCTTCCAGAAAGAACATACCAGGAAGGAAAGAAGATTTAAGATCAAATGCTGCAGAAAAGGACCAGTAACAGGCAAAAGTCATGGCTTTTTTCCATTAAGAAATGACGGTGATTTTTTTTTAAGTGTCTTAGCTCAGGTTACTGTAACAAAATACCATAGGCTGGTCAGCTCAAACAACAGGAATTAATTTTCTTAGATTTCTAGAGACTAGAAGTCTAAGCCGAAGTGCCAGCATGGCCAGTTTCTGGTCAGGGCTCTCTTCCTGCCTTGCAGATGGCTGTCTTCTCATTGTGTCTACACATGGCAGGAAGGGGTGGGGTTGAGGGAAGGGAGGGATGAAGTGAGGGTGAGTTTGTGTTCTCTAGTGTCTCTTCTTATAACATTGCTCAATATCCCAACAAGTAGGCCCCATCCTCATGACCTCATCTAAAGTGAATTATCTCCCAAAGGCCCCATCTCTAAATACCATCACATAAAGGGTTAGGACTGTAATATATGAATTTTGGCGGGGACATAATTCAATCCAAAGCTACAGGAGTTTTAGCAAACCGTGAGGATCAGAAGCCAGACAGCAGAGGGCTGGTGAGCATGTGGGGAATGCAGCAGAAAACATGGCTGCTCATGAGAGTTGCTAGTGAAAGGTTGATGCTTTTATGAGTAGCTTTTGGAAAAAGAAAATAATCTTAGGAAACAAGATATCTCATGTTTAATTTGCTTTGACACCTCCTTCCCCAGATCCAAAGTGAGCTACTGATGTATTTTCCCCTTCCCCCCTTCCCATTACTAGGATATAAGTCAGATGAGCATTTATAAAAGCTACTCATGAGATACAGTTAAGTGAAAAAGCACATATTACAAAACAGTGTGTGCTATATGACCCAATTTGTTTAAAACACTCACAAATTAAATTCCTTTAGAAGGCCACATATACCAAATGTCATTGTTTATTCCTGGAGATGGGAGTAGGAAGTATTGGGCAAGGTTCAGCAAGGAACACAAACTACATTGGATGTTTCAAGAAGAAAGGATTTGACTTAGGCAGTTTTGTGCTAGCAAAACCAGGGCAGGGCTGGAGGAGGGAAGGGTGGACGGAGGCCACCAGGAGCTGCCAGGTTTGCCATCATCGCTGTGGTCCTCTCTAAGGTCAGGAATCGGCTGCTGCCTTCTCAGCTCCCAGAGCTCCAGGTCTGACCAGTCAATGCAGAACCTCATGTCACCAAAGCCTGTAATCAGCTGCCGCCATCATGGCCTGAGGGACAATGGCTTCCACCTCCCTTTTGTCTTCCAAACCCATGCCAAGTGCATCTCACTGGCAGAGCTGAAACGGTATTCAGGACCTAGTAATTAAGAGAGTCTGGGAAGTAGTAGAGATTCTAGGGAGTGTAGAGAAAGGAGGTGGGAATTGTACCAGGTGCCAGACAATGTTGATGGTAGTCTACTCTCTTTGGTTACAAGACAACCAGATACACCCCCTTACACTTAAATTTTACAATTGCAATATCAATGGACACCAATCCTCCTTCAAAATGGGGATTGTAACCATCCCTCATTCAAAATGGGAGACCCAAAGTCCCATCAGGTATTGCATCCATTGTTAAGTGACCATTCCTCTTCTAGTTCAATGCTAAATTCATCTAAATATCATGTAACCTAACTATTAAACTATAAATTTCACCAACTTATTTGTAACTGGTCACGAGGCTAAATTGGTATTTATAACTTCCTTCTTGCAAGTTGTTCTAATATACTAGCTTTTACCACTGGGCAATTTCTCATAGGAGGTAACTTAGACCAGTGGTCAGCGAACTCATTAGTCAACAGAGCCAAATATCAACAGTACAACGATTAAAATTTCTTTTGAGAGCCAAATTTTTTAAACTTAAACTTCTTCTAACGCCACTTCTTCAAAATAGACTCGGCCAGGCCGTGGTATTTTGGCCCACACTCAATGGGCCAAAGAGCCGCATGTGGCCTGCAAGCCGCAGTTTGCCGACCACAGACCTAGAGAATCCCTTGGGCTCCAAACATAGTCCTCCCTGCCCCATGATACAGCAACAATCCAATTTCCTTTTGATAATTAGGACCCCTCACCCCATCCAGTACAGAAACTCTCTTCATTGCCAAGGGCCTGGTGGCAGTCCATGGAATCACTGTTATAGTCTTTGATGGAGGCATAGTTTCCTTGGGAACTAAGACTTATATAACTTTTAAAAGTGGGTTTCTGAGTACATAAATGAGAGGAGCCATTCCACCATTTGCAACCCCCCATCCCCACACCAAAAAAGAAAAGAAAAGAAAAGAAAAGAAAAAAAGCAGCACCAAATACTGTTGCTTATTGGGAGCATTTACTGTATCTCTAGGGCACTGAAAAATGTTTATCTCCCAAATGGTGCAATTAGGTCTATCATGGTAGGACTTCAGGTCATAATGTACTTGTCACTTGACCTTCCGCTATGGACTGCATTGTGCCCTCCGCCACCCCTGCCCTTCATATGTTGCAGCCTAACCTTCAATGTAATGGTATCTGGAGGTGGGATTTTTGGGAGATAATTAGGTTTGATGAAGTTCTGAGGTGGAGGCCTCAGAATGGGACTAGTGCCCTTAGAGAAGAGATACCAGAACTTGCTTCAGCCTCTTCCTGCCAGGTGAGGACACAGTGAGGCCACCTTTTCCAAATGAGGAAGAGAGTCCTCAATGGGACTGAAGTGGCTGGCACCTTAATCTTGTCCTTCCCAAGCTCCAGAACGGTGAGAAATAAATTCCACAGTTGGTTAGGCCACCCAATCTGTAGTATTTTGTTACAGCAGCCTGAGCTGACTAATAATATACCTTTGTAAATCCCCACTCTGACTGCTTAAGTGTGGATATATCATAGTTTACATAAACTATTCCCTTATTAATAATTTTCAGTTTTTCCAATAAATTCCTAAGTCAGACCCAGGCTGAAGTGAAGGCAAGCCTGTAAGGTGCCAGCACTGTACGTGACTATAATGATAATCAAATCTCTAGACCCTGGCTCTGCTAGGGAAGTTAGTGTTCGTCCAAGTGTCTGGCTGCTACTGTACTGAACCTATCATAGACTCTCAGGACCTGAGGGCGAACCAATTTCCTGGTGTGCTGGGGGCTGGGGCGGTGCCTTGGCCACGGGAGTTCAGAGGACAAGAAGAGCCTTGTCTTACTGGCCCTCATGCCCGCGTGTCTTCCAGCCCCTCAGGGAGGCTCGCAAGCAGGGGTCAGCTCATTTACATAATGAAAACTGGCAGAGTTTAATGTGACATCTGCACAGATGCAATTTTCCTTCAAATAAGAGGCACTCATAAATGTTTACGGTCTAGAAGCTCAACTGTATTTTCACATGGAACAGTTTGGCCACTATATTCAATTTAAACATCTGAAATTGCGTTTCCCAGGTGATGTGGGATGCATTTTTTCACAACTCACTGAGCCCATTTGCCTTCATCTTCAAGTGCTGAAAGTGCAACATATTTTAATGAGAATTACACATCTGCCAATTTACTCTGTCAGCCTCCTTTAAATCTGCTATAATCGTTTCTCTGGGCTGAAAATTCCTCTCTGCTCAGGCACTGCTAACCTGCAATCACTCCGAAGGCCAGGATACAATTTAAAAGTCTGGAGTTCTAAATTAGAATATGAAATTTATTGTGTGGCTCCAGTTCAGTGTCAAGTTTTCCACGATTTTGCCCAGGAAACACAGGCCCATCAGGGCCCTCATCAAGGAGCCCTGCCATTACTCCGACTCCCAAGAGTTGAAACAAAATACATCCCAAGTTTCTTCTAATGCAGGACTTTGAGGGGAAGAGTTTAAAGTAGCTGCCTCTAAAACTCTTGTAAATGAGGCTTGTGCAAACATTCAGCAAACAAAGCTCTCTTTCTCTAGAAAGATACGGGCCAACCATTTGCTTTCTTCAGGGCTGTTTCCTGGGCACAGGCAGGAAGATAACAGTTCTCATCCTTGGCTCAGTACATCACTTACAGCAAATCTCTCCCTTGAACAGCAGGGCAGGCACACCGGCTGTGTGCAGGAGACTCAGGGATCAGTTGATCGACAAGCAAGGAAGAAACAGTCCCTTCATATTAAGCCCTCACTTTTTCACTACTGATGGATCAAATCCTGTCTCCGCCTTAGGAGTCTACAAGAGGCTAAGCCAGTGTTGGTAAATCAACTGGAGGTAAGCTCAAAATATTAGATCACCTAAAAGCCTTCATTATAAGCCTCATCCTGAAACCTCTCAAAATCCCCACGGAGGCCCACAGTTTACAGACGGAGAGCAGACTTGGTGACTAAAATGCGTGCGAGGGACACTGGTCTCTCAGGAAGAGGGGTTCCATGTAGCACTTGTGATAAGCATCTCACTCAACTTCTGATTCCACACCCTTATCAATAAACAGAGGGTTCCGCCTATCACCCTTAAGAGGAACAGAACAATGAGGGGAAAGTGCGTGGCTAACAGAACAAAGAGAAAACTACTGTATCAACTGTAGAAGTCTTAATTCACAGGGGTGACTTCAACTCCAAGAGCGCAGAGGGGCAGAGAGAAAGCATGGCGGAGGCTGCTACCTGACGGTGGTGCCCTGCAAACGGTCTATCTTCTTGTTGAGCTCCGCGATGACGCTGTGCAGCTCGGTGATGCGCTCCTCGTAGCGAAGCGTCGTCCGCTCCTGGACATCCTCATGCTCTCTCATGAGGTGGGACTGCTCACACTGGAATCAAGAGAACAAGAGAGAAAGGGTGATGCGTTGACATACCTATAGGCTAGTGATTCTAAGCTGTATAGCCTCAATTCATCAGCTTCAACAACGAGCATGCCCAAGATAAAACATATGCCTGCTCACTGACCAGCGATCCCGAGAGACACAGCGAAGTGCAATTTTACAACGTAAACATCCGAGTCCTGGCCTCTCTGCCACCCATTCTCTCTTTGGGGGAAGATCCCCTTGCCACCGCACATAACCCTCGTAGGACTAGCCAAGCCTCCTCTTTTCCTTAGCCAAGAAGTGGGGAAGGGGCCCAAGGGCCCTTCAGATGCCTTCTTTGGGAATTTGAATCTTAAGTGAATGGACCGAGGGTGCGTGAAGTCAATTCACCTGACTGAGGGCCCTGAAGAGACTGTCCCTTAGCTCCTGGTCCATATATCTCCAGAGCTTCCTTCCCAAGCTCCTTCAGGCTGTTTAGGTTCCCGTTTACCCATTCCTTCCTTTTGTGCTGAAGTCTGTTGGGTTCTGTTTCAGTTACTTTTCAACCAAAGAATCCCGAGTGATATGACACCATTTCTTATTTGGCTGGTTCTCTGCAGGCCAGAGTGGAAACTCCTGGGAGGCAGGGACTAGATGTTTTTGTGAAATAGCCCTGCACCTGGCACATGGCCTGGGTCACTGAGGATGACCGGGAAGTGTCATGGAATGAATAAACCACCGTGTGTCACGCTGTCCTGAAGGATGCTTTGCAGAAACAATGACAAAAGAGGCTGAGGAGCTTCCCTTGCTCAGCATTTGATAAACTAAGAGGCAGCAGATGCTATAAAAAAGCATTTTTGTTGCCAGAGTTTAAATCCTAAGGAATCTGTTCACCTCTTTCATTTCTCTCCCTATTCAGAATCCCACACCAGTCACTGTGCATTTAATCTCATTTACACAATAATAAAACACTCGTCAGGGATGGAACAAGGAGTCTAGCTTATGTTCCTGTCTACTGTGTTCAGCCCTGATTAATTTCCTGTCTAGTAGAGGAATTTTTATTTCATTTTCAGCAAAAAGCCAAGAGCCAAGGATACTTGCCCACTTTGCACTTGTGGGGCTGGTGACAGACAGGCAAGGGTAAGACTTCTCATCCATGCCTTCAATGTCCTCTCTCTTCCCTAAACCTGCTGGGGTCCCCATGGTGTGATGCAGAAGCCCCTGGACAGGGATAAAAAGCCTTCAAAGACAAGTAGGACACTGCACTAAGCCTACCCCAATAATGAAGCACAGGTGCTCAGCACAGGAGTCTGATGCATACATTGGTATAGAGCAGGTGTCGGCAACCTACGGCTCCAGAGCCGCACGCGGCTCTTTTGAAGCTTTTCCGCGGCTCCGACAACTTGCAAGCCTGTGTGAAAATGAAGGTAACATCTTACAGCCCTGATGTGCTGACACTGTGCACTGAGGTTCAGGAGCAAAAATTCCACTAACCAGGTAAATTAAATATTTTATTTTATTTTCTTAAAAAATATATTTTATTGATTTTTTTCAGAGAGGAAGGGAGAGAGATAGAGAGCTAGAAATGTCAATGAGAGAGAAATATTGACCAGCTGCCTCTTGCACACCCCCTACCGGGGATGTGCCCGCAATCAATGTACATGCCCTTCACCGGAATCGAACCTGGGACCTTTCAGTCCGCAGACCGACGCTCTACCAATGAGCCAAACCGGCTTCGGCTAAATTAAATATTTTAATTAGCTATTAATTTGCAAAAATATATTTTACATTGTTAAGTGAAAAAGTCCTTTTTTCCTTCAGATTGACTGCACGATCCAGTATATAGCATTAAGGTAAGAAACAATATATGCAGTGTTATATTTGTTTTAAATGTCGCAATGGTTTTGCGGCTCCAGGTTTTTTTTTTCCTTCGGAAATGGGTCCAAGTGGCTCTTTATGTCTTAAATTTGCAGACCCCTGGTATAGAGCATGGCAATGGCTTGATCATTGAAGAGGACCCTGAACAATGGCTTGATCAGTACTAATGTGGAAACATCCTGAGGGCTGCTCAGGTTCCAGAAACAAGATCAGATGCAGCCAGGTTGATGAATGCTTTCTTACAGGTTTTTGTGAGACAGTTACTCTCTGAGAAATTATGATATGACTTTTGTGCTTAGAGACAGCCCGAAACATCCAGTAACATCCATTCAAACTCAAACACTTCGGAACTAAGTGGAAGCACCGAGTGAAGCTTCCCTAAGCAGGCGACCCTGCTAGAGGTTCTCATAGGTTGAGAACCGCTGCTGTAGAGTCTAAGGCATCGGAAAACACAGATAGTTACATTACAATTCATTAACAGTAGCAAAATTACAGTTATGAGGTAGCAACAAAAATAATTTTATGGTTGGGGGTCACCACAACATGAAGAACTGTATTAAAGGGTCACGGCATTAGAAAGGTTGAGAACCACTGTTACAGATGAACAGGCCATTAAGGAAGACAGGAAATTATAAAACCCACTTAAAAATGGAGAGGTGCAAGTGTTTATATAAGAAAAAAGCATATGACCAATTGGTAATCACCAAGACAGCTCTCGGCATCCCTACTGACTGTTAGGAGCTGCCAGGTCTTACCAAAGGTAAGACCCCATGGGGCTGTCCAGGTTGCAGAGAGATCAGATGCGTGATGACCAGGCTACAAGAGCATGTAGCTGGCATTGTGCCATCATTACCCCTGGCTCTAACTGCAAAGCCGGCCAGGAAGGTGTCATTATGAACAAGAGACAACAGGAAGCCTGATGATTCAGTCAGATGGAAAAGTGCCTATAGCTAAACGGATAAAAAAGACATATTGTATACTTGGAACTAAGGGGTTCATTTGGGAATAACAAGACTATATTGGGGGACATTTCTTAGCTGATGGCAAAGATATCTCCTTTACATGTGTATAGTTTACCAAAATTATGCGTTTAAAAGTGGTAGAAAGCCTCTGCAATTCTATGCTTCCTCTAAAATGAACAGGTATGTTTTGATTTCCCATTGATATCTAAGATACTGTGCTAGGTGCCCTGGTTGGGGCGGGGAGAGGGGGGTGGGGAGTCACTATGATATCTACTCTAAAGGGAATGGTGGTCACACCTTCTCTACTGGACAATAAAACCATGGACCGAAGTGAGGGTGGGCGTAGAAGAGATGGTGGAATGGTATCTGAGGATTTCTTTCCCCATGAAAAGAGAATACTGGGAAATCATTATCAAAACTCCTGGCCTGTATGTGGATGAATGATTGAGAAGACTTTATTAAGGTTTCACCTGTATAAATCAACACCCCCGAGAGGTACCTCATTAAAAACCTCCCCATTCTGTGCACACTCACTGTACATGGCCAAAGGCACTTGAAATGCTGATCTCAACGTCAGTGAGAATCCCCTGGGCTTTCCAGGCCGGGGAGCAGGGGAGGCAGAGCCCGTCCCACAGGGCAGCCGCGGGAAGGAACAAGTCATCACCTGCAGGAGCCAAAGAGCCCAACAAAACACCCTTGTCAGGCCTCCCCTTACACTGCACAGGAGCCAACCGGAGGAATGTGGCACTTCAGTGCAGGAGGAGGAGACGAGGGGGCGGAGCCTGGGACAGACAAAGCCGCTCTGTGCACGCTGGGTGCCTTCCTGCCCTGGCAATCTCCCACTCGGGCAGGATGGGCCTAGTAAAGCGAGACCTGATTCTGTCATCACCCTCTAGTCCTGTTACTAATCGGGGACTCTCACCACCCCGAGTTTCCAAGACCTGTGAGAACATTTTAACCTGGGATTGCGGGTATTCGGTTGGACGAGGACAGAGGCTAGGTCACGCGCGATCCCACAACTCCACATAAGGTCACCTGTGGCAGGTATCCCAGTAAAGCCTCATTCAAGAAGATAATTCAATGAAGATAGCTATAGAGGAAAAAAGGGTATTACCTCTATGATTACCACTTAACATGTGCATGGTTTTTAAGTTGAAATTTAAGTATGTTATGGACATTTTTAAAAAATGATAATGAGACATTCATTCCGTGCATGGAACAGAATAACAGATCTCAGTGTGGGGTGGTGGGGACAGAGAGAGATTTACCAAAGAACGTATATACATAACCCATGGACACAGACAACAGCAAGGGGAAGGCCTGGGGTTGGACGGGGGCTGGGTAGAGGAGGGCACAAAGGGAGAAAGTGAGAGATACCTGTAGTATTGTCAATAATAAATGAAAATAAAAAATCAATTCTTTCATAATCTATTAACACAATCCTTTTCACATGGTGCTCATTTCTATCCAGCATTTTCTTATGTGGGGTGTGTGGGTGCACATTGTGTAAGTATCAGCAATCCTGTAACAGCTAGCAGGGCCTTCACCAAGATGGGTTCACCTCCACCCATGCACATAGTCAGATTATACTTCCCTTGAAACTTGATATGGCCATGTGACTTGTTTTAACCAATGAGGTGTTAGTGAACATACATCATTTTTTAGTCAAAGCCTTTAAGAGCTGGTGTGGGATTTGCCCCATTCCCTTCCCCAGACCATGGCTGCCTGGCCATGTTCCAGATGTTAGAGGCCCATCACCTTGGGAGGCTGGGCCAGGGCAATATAGCAGTTTTCCTTTATACCCAATGATCTCCCAGCAAGAAGAAACTCACCTTCAGTATTTTAAGCCACTGAAAATTTGGGGTTGTTTGTTAGTCCTGCATATTTTGATGATGCAACTATTTTGTAGAAGAAAATGGACTGTCAAGTGGCCAATTTATTTATAACTAGTGGCCCAGTGCATGAATTCATACACATTGTAAGGAAATTAATTAGAAGAAATATTTTAATGTTGCTACTCACCATTTCTCTATAATAGAAGTGTCAACCAAATTCAGGATTGACAATGACAGATGGAAACACATATGCAATTGGTGCCTGCAACAGCTTTATATGTATTGCCCATGCATGAGTAAACTTGGCCTTTTATAGATCTAGAACAAACTTGCTTAATTAGACCTGCTTTCT